ACACACATTAATTTTCTAATGCATCTGGTGGTGCTAATGGTCCGGATACATTCGAGATTCGCAGGTCGAATGAATGTAGTCCGTCGACTGCGCCAGATGCTCTCTCTCTCTCTCTCTCTCTCTCTCTCTCTCTCTTAGCCCCGTCGTCGTGCCGCTATCAGTTGTTCTCTCTCTCTCTCTCTCTCTCTCTCTCTCTCTCTCACACACACACACACACACACACACACACACACACACAAACACACACACACATTAATTTCGTAATGCGTCTGGTGCTGCCTTTGGTCCGGATACATTCGTAATTTGCAGGTCGAATGAATGTAGTCCATCGACTACGCGAGATGCCTTCACACTTTTCGTTGGCCTGCGAATTACGAATGTATCCTTCCCTTGGAGGGAGGTCCACAGTTCGTCCGCGACCTTGGAAAGGTTGAAGGCTACCGTCCCCTTGCCCTCCCTACCCTGCACAAAATTGGGGCGACTTTTCCTCCCGCGGTGGCTTCCAGGTAGGAAACCGACTGAAAACACGGCATACAGCGTTTCCAAGGCCGAGAAGCCCCCCGCCTGCCCTGTTAACAAAAATTCACCTACCGACCGAGCTACTCCAAGCACCTACGGACCGAGCCACTGCAAGCATCTACTGATCGAGGCACTCCAAGCACCCACCGACCGAGCCACTCCAAGCACCCACCAACCGAGGCACTGTAAGCATAAATGTCTGCACGCACCAATTGACCGAGGCACTCCAAGCACCTACCGACCAAGGCACTCCAAGCACCTACCGACCGAGCCACTGCAAGCACCTATACCGATTGCAAGCACCTACTGAACTAGCCACTCTAAGCATAAATGTTTGCACGCACATACCGACCGAGGCACTCGAAGCACCTATACCATACCTACCCTGTGCGCGTTCTGTATGTGGTGAAACAACATATGGATCCAAGTGCAACGAGAAGCCCCCCGCCTACCCTGTTAAAAAAAAAAAAAGAATAATATTATCGACTATTCGTTACCAAAAAAATAAAATTCATGTGCAATTCTTAGCTGCCGGAGTGCGGGTTTCGTGTGTGGTGAAGCATGAAGTGGATCCAAGTCCGAGTTGGGGGGGGGGGGGGGG